TTATATTTTTATAAAATCAAGTGATTTTCATTAAGGAATAATAATAAATGCCAGAAATTTTGAATAATAATTAAAAAGATGATATTTTATAGTGTTTTAATAGATTTTTATTTTGTGCATTATAATTACTCTAACTAACAACTAAATTAATTTGTACTTGTTTCATTTAAGAATATAAGGAACTATGATGGAATTTATTAATTACAAGAAGCAACTAAATTTTAAAATTAATAATATATCATATACTTTACAAAAAGAAACAGGGTGGGATGAGAAAGATAATATAAAAAAATATAATATATGTAAACGATTATGGAACAGTAAAAAAAATCATAGAATAAAAAAAATATAATGCAACAAGGCTACCCTGTCATTTTTTTAATTATATATTAAATTAAATTAGTTGTTTATTGTTGTTGCTTACGTGTGACCATTGGCCAAATATTGGTTCGTGCATGGTGTGTGCTATGCGTGTGTGGCATTTCACCGCATGATGTATTTATTTCTTTACTTGCTTCATACTTCACTCGCCGTCACGATCCATTGATGTTCAATTGCTATGTATTCCGGCACGCGCCACCAACAACCTTCCGTCGCAGGTTGATTTTTTTATTTTTTTTTACTTGACCCACTCTACTGGAAAAAGTTATTAAAAAATGTTTTTACTTTGTAAGGAAGGAATTTTTGAAAGAATTACCAACGTTACTTCGTCACCAAGTAAAAACCACATATTAAATTCACTTTATATTAAATTAGTTATACATAGTGTCGGCATTTTTATTATTGTTATTTATTTTATTGTATTATAATTTAATATAATATTAATTTTTTTAAAATAAGTACAACATTATTATGAAATAAGATATGTAAGAAAATAATATTTCAAGATGAAAAAAAATAAAGAATAGATATTCAATTTTTTGTATTTCATGAAAATAATATAAAATTATTTAATGATAATTTAAGGAATAAAAATTAAATGAAAATAAAGACTAATAAAATTAATAAATAATTTAATAGATAACTAATAATAATTTATAACATTTTTATTAGATATCCAATAATTAAAGAATGTGTGTGATTTAAATCTTATTAGGAAAAATATTATAAGACAAAAACCTAGTAAAAAAAATTTAATATATCATTATTTAATACATTTTCAAAATATAATCATTTATTCCCATATAAACTATTATCGTTAAGATAATAAAGACCAATCTTATAAAAAAAATATTCTTATTCACAGGTCTTTTGTAAATAAATATTTCAAGTTTTTTTATAAACAAATCTTGTAAATCACAATTCTTTCTAAAGAATTATATTTTAAATTATCTTATTTAATATATATATATATATATATATATATATATATTATTTTCTTTTTCAACATAACATAATATATGACTTCATATATAATCATTCATATTAAATTTTCTAAAGATAAAACACAATAAATTTCTTACATGGTACGATTTGATAATACTATTATTTATTTTAAAGATTGACATAAAATTACAATGTTATCATTTATGAATAAATATCTTATTTGTGATTTGAGATCTAATATAACTTGCATTTATATAATTCATTAGATATGATTTTGAAACATTTTAAAACAAGTTTATCCCTTAAGATCTTTAATTAAATATCTTCTTGTAGATGAAAAATTATATTAGTACTATACTTTAAGAAAAAAAAATCTTTATTTTTCTCTTGGGATTTAAAAGGATCTTAAGTTACATTTAAAGATTTTTCAATCATTCAAATATATAATAAATATAAATTATTCACATAAAACCTTTAAAGTACTTACATTATATAAATACTCTATAATAACTTAACCACTTAGATTAAAAACCGGTCTACAAGAGATGATTTAAGAAAAAAAAACAATTGATATTATAAAAGTATCTTTATTTAAATTTTAATACAAACAAAAGTTTATCCTTTTAAGATTATTCATCTCAAATTATTTTTTCTTTCTCTAAAAGAATAAACTCCTTTTATAAGTTGTTACGTGTGTTCCAATAATATTTGTTATCTACATAATTAACAATTATAGCAAATTCATTTTTTAATATTTTCATATAAATACAATAACAAATGGGATCATTTTATACCATTTTTTGAACAAATATTCACTAATACGGTTGTACCATCCAAATTGTTTTAATCCATAAATAGACTTATTTAACTTAATTAAATAATCCTCTCTATAATTTACATCAGTTGACAAATTAAATTTTTAAATGAGTTTCATATAAATATCATTTTCTAGAAAATCATACAAATCCATTAGATGTAAATTGAATCATCCATTATAAATAGATCAATTAAATATCTAAAAGTATTTGTATCAGTTAAATGTGATTCAAAAGACAACATTGGGTGAAAACAATGTAAATAATGAATTGTGTTTTATATCTCACAACTTCACCATTTTTATTTCTCTTTTGCACAAAGAGTTAATTGTATCCAAATTATTTAACATCTTCATATTTATGGACTATAAGTTCAAAATTCTTTAACTTATCAATGGAGTTTAATTCTCTTTGATTTCATCCTTCCAATTTGTCCATTGATTTCTTTGTTGGCAATCTTGGACTTTAGTTTTTGATCTTCAACATCATTTATAACATTTAGTTGTGTACTATACAAAAAATAATTATCAATATTGATTTCACTTTAATTTCATATTATTTTACTCATGATCATGAACTTGAGTTGTTTTGAAATTAATATATATTAATTATGTAAAAAAAATCTTTTAGAGTTTTTATCCTCAATTGGTTCATCTTACATTTTACATAATTTACTTATTCAAGGATTCTTAGTTTTAGAACCATTGAGTCACCACACTTATATCATATTTGATATTCTCTTACAATATTAGAATACACAACTGAAACACTAATTATAATTGAAGCATACCATAATTATAGTTAGAGTATTGACAGTTGATACATATAATACAATCACTATATTTTGATTAAGTTTTGTGAATGAATTATCTTTTCAATATCTAATTAATATTCCTTCATGAGAATCAATATGAGATAATGATAATTCATTCTAAATAATTGATGAAAAAAATACGTCATAAAGAACATCAATATCTTTATCCTCGAGAATTACCCAACTAATAGAGAAATAAGATAAAAAAATCAACATAAGAATATACAATTTTTACATCATATATATTACTCTCTCTTATGTCCTTTGACCACAAATACACCTATACTCTTCAAAACAAAAATTTAAATCCAACCTCACAACACTTTACTATAAGAGTATATTGTACTCTACTAGGCTAAATTGAATATGCAGATAATGTGATATAGCCTAATACAAATTGCTTTATTAAAAAAAAAAACAAGATATAACCATAGTTAATACAATAACAATCGTCATATACATGTTTGATACAAGGATTCAACGACAGATATGACCAAATTCGTCATTATATGTTGAGATATAATGATGATTATTTATAAATAATCGTTATTGTATGTGATATATAATGATAGATATTAATAAATAATTGCTGTTATATCTTCATATACAATGACAACTCCATCAACCACAACTCTGCAACTATATGGTAGGTCATATTTAATGATCGTTAAAAGTCATTGCTACAATAATATGATCATTGTACAACAACTTATAGAGAACAATAATGTATTTAGAGAAAAAATATTTCTTATTCTTTAAAGACATTTGTTAAATATATATATATATATATATATATATATATATATATATATAATTATTGTTAGTAGCATTATGAGATGATGTCAAATATCATAATTTTTTTTTCTTATTTTTCTCTTACCCAACCCACAAGTTGGACTCTAATCCCATTTCAAACAATGCAATTATAGTTGGCCAAACAAGATTTACCCACAGCAAAATTGAAGATAAATTTCCTTTTATATATATATATATATATATATATATATATATATATATATATATATATTTAAGATATTTTTTATTATATTATATTTTATATTTTAATTTATAATTTTTATAATATTTTATGTAATTTTGGTGAATATGTTGTACTAGTTTTAATTATATATATATATATATATATATTAAATTTTTATTCTATAAATGTTTTTTTTATCTATAATAATTAAACACGTGACCAAAAGTTTTAAAATTGACTTAATCAAGAGAGATTAATCCTTTGACTATAAATAATTGTTTATAACAGAGAATTATGAAACCAATTTGTATTGCAATTCTTAATGACTTATTATCATATTAATTTTTTCTAAAAATATTGTAATAATAATAATAATATAAATACATTATAAAGTACTATCAAACAACATCAATACAGTAATATTCAATTTCAAATAATATATTATCACAATAATAATGCATTTTTATCATGAACTATAAATTTTATTTAAAGAAAATATAAAAAGACAATGACAATGGAATTATATGTTTTTACAATAATTAAAATTCTTTTAAAAAATTAGACATAATATTTGTGACTTTTTTTCATAAATAATACTGTTTTCAAAAATATTTACCAAAATAGCACCTCTGCAACTTTATTTACACAACTAGCACAGTTCATTGTTCACGTAATAAAATAATATTATTTTGCGCAAGCTGTTTCTTGTTCACTATATTAAAATAATATTATTTCGCGTATTGAACTCTCGCTCAAGCGAAGAAAACCTTCGCTTGAGCGAGGAAACCTGTAACAAAGGGGTAATCTGGAGTAATTCTCGCTAAGCGAAGGTTTTCTCGCTTGAGCGAAAAGTATGATCGACTATTATCCAATTATAGTCGATCACTTTGACATATATGACTTTAGATAGCGGTTATTTGTCCAACCGCTATCTAAACTACTACATTAGAAAGCGGTTAAAGCCTAACCGCTATCTAATATATAATTTTAAAAGCGGTTGTTATCAACCGTTATCTAAGGTGACTCAAGCGAAAAACACATCGCTTGAGCGAGGACACCTGGAAAAATGGGCGTCCTCATCCTTCCAATGCCACCTATGACTATAGAAGAAGTAATTCCGCGGACAAAGAAATGGTGGCCACCTTGGGATTCAAGGAAGCAATTGAGCAACATTTATTGTGAAACCAGTGGAGTAGCTCAAACTTGTGATAGACTTGGGAAGATTCTAGCTGATGCAGGTGGAGTGCTTACATCTAAACTGCAGGAAGACATTATTCGATATTGTCGTGGGTTAAATCTTGTGTGGATTGGCAAATTCAAACTGGGTCCTGTAGAGCCTGAACAGTTGGAACTCATTTTAGGCTACCCTATTAATCACACTCGTCTGCTTGGGGACAATTTGGCCGAAAGGCTTAGATCACTGAAATACTGCTTCCAGCACGGACACATTGGGGTATCACCTTTCCGTGTTAAAGCCCATCTTCCCTCGTGGATTGACAATGTTGTCACTTTTTAGTGGTATTGGTGGGGTAGAAATTTCCTACACCAGCTTGATATTAAAATAAAAGTCTGTTGTCTCGGTTGAGACTTCGCGCCAAATAGAAAGATTCTTGAGAGGTGGTGGCGTCAATCTGGGCAAGCTGGGACTTTGGTTCGGATTGAAGACGTTCAAAAACTGACTAGTAAAAAACTTGAGGGTCTAATCAGTAAATTTGGATGTTTTGACCTGGTCATCTATCGGAACCCATGCTCTTACTCAAGTTCCGGGCTACAAGCAGGTGTAGGTCTCTCAGCTCTTGCTTTTTCAAGTATTTTAATCGATACAAACTTCTTTTAATCGATTAAAACCACTTTGGAAGTCAGGATGATCGATCGAATGAAATTATGACCGATCGAGTTGGTTATGATCGATCGAATTGAATTATGACCGATCAGACCTATTTCAATCGATTAAAACGAATTTCAATCGATTAAAATGACTTGAAAATTTTTGTACAGAGTTTCAATCGATTAAAATAACTTGGAAAATCTTTGTACAGAGTTTCAATCGATTAAAACGCATTTCAATCGATTAAAATAACTTGGAAAATCTTTGTACAGAGTTTCAATCGATTAAAACGCGTTTCAACCGATTAAAACAACTTAGAAAAATTCACGTGCAGGTTTTTAATCGATTAGAACTTCTTTGTATCGGTTAAAATAACTTGAAAAACGCGTTTGAAACATTGAGAGCGGAAGAATGGTGAAGCTTGCAAGTGTGAAGCTGCAACTCCAAGCTGCAAGTTCTTCTTCCTCTCATTTTCCAAGTGCGACCCTCAGCCTAGAAATCTCCTTGTGCTCTTCACCATGATCAGCGGCAGCAGCTACTTGATGATCACTCTCTTCTTCTCCTTGTATCGTTTTCACCGGAAACTTCACTTCCAACGGCTCTTGTTCCAAGCTCCCTTTCAACACATTCAGAGTCGCCAACATCTTTTCCTTCTTCACGCCACCACCACCCGCTATGCTTCTGCTCGCTTCGCACCACCACCAACATAAACATGCTCCCCCATTTGTTGGGTACCCGCTTCCCTTCCAAACGCAACCTCTTTTGCCACCGCATCATCGTTTGGGAACACAGGATCAAGCTCCAACCCGTCTTGGTTGAAGTTCCACCCGCTGATCCTTCTCTCCTTCACCAGCATGGCAGGGTCTTCTTCATCATCATCATCATCATGCTCCCCCTCATCTGCATGCTCATTAACCTTGTTATCCTTATACCTTTTCTCCACACTGGGCAACCCTTGGAGAACGTTCCTCACCAGAAAATCAGTTCCCTTACAGTTTTTAAAGAAGGGGTGTTTCAGCAACTTATCAGCTGTGGGTCTTTTGGAAGGATCTTGGTCTAGACAAGAAGCCACCATGTCCTTGAACGCCTTGGAGAACTTCTTTCCATTCCCCTTTCTATACTTATCAAAATTGGAGAAACGAAATCGCTTGGTGATCTTGAGCATCATGGACTTGGAAGGTGGAAGGTGAGAGAGAGGAGGCCTTCCATGCGCCAGCTCCAAAGCTGTTCTCGCTCAAGCGATGTGTTTTTCGCTTGAGTCACCTTAGATAGCGGTTGATCACAACCGCTTTTAAAAATATATATTAGATAGCGGTTAGGCTTTAACCGATTTCTAATGTAGTAGTTTAGATAGTGGTTGGCCAAATAACCGCTATCTAAAGTCATATATGTCGAAGTGATCGATTATAATTGGATAATAATCGATCATACTTTTCGCTCAAGCGAGGGTTTATTCGCTTGAGCGAGAATTTACCCAGATTACCCCTTTGTTACAGATTTCCTCGCTCAAGCGAAGGTTTTCTTCGCTTGAGCGAGAGTTCAGTACGTGAAATAATATTATTTTAATACGTGAACAAGTGAACGAGTTGCGTGAAATAATATTATTTTAGTACGTGAACGATAAATAGTGCTAGTTGTGTAAATAAAGTTGCAGAGGTGCTATTTTGGTAAATATTTTTGAAAACAGTATTATTTATGAAAAAAAGTCAATATTTGTTTCAATTTTACATTTATTTATTATTATTTCATATATATATATATATATATATATATATATATGAATAATATTATAAAAAATAGATCTTTCAAAAACCTATTATATTTTTATATGAGAAAGATGTAAATTTATAAATACTTAATTTTTAATGTCCGGAATAAAATGATATCTTTTTATTTTATAAAATTAATATAGTTTTTAAATTATTTTATTATAAGTACAAATATAATTAATTTTGTTTTATAAATTATTAAAAATACAAATATTATTTTATACAATTAAAATGCAACTATTATTCAGATTTATTAAAAGTAAAGTATATACAAATGACTTTTAAAATTCATCAAATCCCTAATTATAAAAATAATTATAAAAATTATTTTTAATTCATTAAATATTTGTGGGAGGATCTATTGAATTTTGATAAACAATAGATAAATTATCAATCATCCATCATAATTAATTGATGGATTTGATTTTATCAATTTTTGTAATTAATTTATTTTTATAAAGGCACAATTAATTAATCAATAAATTACTTTGTCATTCCTGATCATAAAATCTACCATATCAAGCTATACGGACATAAAATATTATTATATATCATTATAATATTATTTTCATTTAGTGTTATTATTTATTATATTTATTTCTGTTGTTATTAAATATTCAAATATTGTGAAGTGTAAATATAAACTTTTGGGATATTTACAGTTTTTTTACTGAGTTAATGGATATTGGACTAAACTGTCTAATGAGAAAAAAAAATTGTTTTAGAAAACTGAAATAAACTTATTTTCTCGTTTAATTTTTAAAAACTAAATTTCGTTTAATTTTTAAAAACTAAATTGCTATTAAATAAATTTCTTAAACTAAACAGAAAATATAACTAATAGAATTGAATATATATATATATATATATATATATATATATATATATATAATTAAATAAAAATTATTTTATAAATATAATTATTATTTTTTCTTTCCATATTTATTTTTGAGTTACATTCTTTTTTTTTCTTTCTTTCTCTTTATCTTTATATTTTTTTTCTCTTACCTATTTACTTTCCACTTTAACTTTTTCTATCACAAATTCATTTTATTTTTTTTCTTTACACTAATTTACTTTCATATTCTTCTTTTTCATAGTTTCACCTTACAACATAGAAATTGGTAAGTTTTTTCTTTAATTTTCAATTTTTTTCTTTTGTATAGTTTCATTTTTATAGCATAAAAATTGTAAAAAAAATTTAGTTTTTATTTTTTTTTCACATTGAAGGCATAAGACAAAAAGTTAAAAAAATGAATAAAATATCCCACAATAATATTCTTAAAGTGTTAAAATAAAATTAAAATAAAATTATTTTTACTATAACCATTTTACTCTTTTTTTTTTATCCTTTTCCTCTTATAAATACATGTACAAATATTTTAGTTTTAAATATATAATGAGAAAATTTAGTTTTTAATTTTCAACATTCTTTTTTTTTTTTTTTTTATGTTTTGAGCTTTTGATGCTCGATTTTTTCATCGAGGCATACCCCTTTGATTCTTTGGTCTTTCCTCGTACTCAATTATTTTTCTCTCACACTCGATACAATATCAACAACTAAGGTTGATACATTACACTTAATATTCATACAATCATTCGATAATCAAAGCATATTCAGTATTTTGTTTGTGTTTCGTATAACATAAAGATTTACATTTGATACAAGATCAAAGAAGCAATGCTCAATATGAACCGTTCGATGACCACTCATGTTTCTAATATAGTATTAGGGCTATATTGTGCACTCTGACTATCTCTTTTATGGATTCTTTTTTCTTGTTTTCATCTTGGGTATTATGGAAAAATTAAGGGACTCATCAAGTGAAAATTCACTGCCTCTTATGAACAATAATTTTTCTCTTTCTACAAACAACTTTTTGTATATTCATCCAAATGAAAATCCTTAAGCTTAGTATCTCTGGTTCTTGATATAGGAAATGATTATCTTTGGAGCAAATCCATGCTCATTGCATTTAGAGGCGAAGAGAACGGGTGGCATGGTGGGGCCATGACCACCCCAAACTTTAGTAATTTTTCTTAGTACTATGAATAAAAAAAATATTGGCCCCCCATGATGTACTATCTCATGATATGTTAACTTCTTTCTATTATATACTATTGAGTCATCAAATACAAAGCAACCCACTTTCTCAATTTTTTTTATTAAAAAATAAATAAAATACTCAGCTAGTTTGACAAGTTTGTTATTTTCTCTCTTCAAAACAAAGAACACTTGTTTTGTTTCCTCTTCAGACTAAAAAACTTTAATCTCTCACATTTCAAAATCAACCATTACAAGAAGGAACAAAAATCTTCTTAGTTGGTTGGCTTTGGTTCACCATTTGTCTCTTTCAATTCAACCGCATCCACTTTGAAAAGGTAAGTTTACATTTTTATTTATTGCATACTTCCATTTTTATACTGTTTCTTAATTTCTCTGTCTTGTTTTTCTTCCTTTTTAATACAAAAAAATGTAACTTGTCATAGGGAATACGTGGGGTTATGTTGGGCAAATAAGACAATATTTAAATTTTGTTTCTATTTGTATTATTATAGGTTATTAGAAAAATTGGAGCTTAATTCCTTAAATTGGAGCTCAATTCCTCAATTTTTGTTTCTATTTTTTTTTATTTCCACTAGGTTAAAAGATGCATAAGAAAAAATAATTGATTCTTTTTTTAAAAGAAAAGAAAGAGATGAAGAAGAAACACAACCTGGTAATGTAATGTTCAAAGATTTGTCGATGTTGAAAAACCAAGAGTGTCAACAATAAAACAACTTGTCCAACCACATAGGTCTAAGTCTTTAAGGATTGAGGAAAGAGTTAATATTGATACTTTAATTTGTGATCCTGGAAAACGTACACCAATTTGGAATTATCCTACAATCAGTAGGATGAAATTCGTAAGACATATTTAAAGTTTGGTCCATATCAATTTTTAATGGATGTGTATCCACTTTCAGGTGATGAAAATCATCCTCACCATTTTCAATCACATTGGTTTAAAAGCTTTCATTGGTTGGAGTATTCACCTGAAAAAGATGCAGTCTTTTGCTTTCCATGCTATTTATTTTCTAAAAAATCAAGTCCATTCATTTCAAAAGGGTTTAGGCATTGGAAAAAAGTGAATAGTGGTGATGATTGTCCATTTTTATCTCATATGGGAAGAACTCCTAATTCACCTCATAATGTTGCTCTCAAACGTTGTGAAGATTTTAAAAATCAATCTTGTCATATTGATAAATTGTTATGTAAGCAAACTTCACAACAAGTTTTGAATAATCAGTTGCATCTTAAAGCCTCGGTGGATGTTGTTAGATGGTTGACATTCCAAGCTTGTGCTTTTAGAGGGCATGATGAAAGCATGGGATCTAGAAATCAAGGTAATTTTCTTGAAATGGTAAAACTTTTGGCTTGTTATAATAAAGAAGTAGATGAAGTTGTTTTTGGGAAATGCCCCTCAAAATGCAAAATACACTTCACCTACAATTCAAAAAGAGATTTTACAAGTGTTTTCAATGAAGGTGCAAAATGAAATAAGACAAGAAATTGGTGATGCAAAATTTTGTTTGATTGTTGATGAAGCTCATGATGAATCTAAGAGAGAACAAATGACGTTTGTTATTAGATTTGTTGACAAAAATGGTTATATCAGAGAATGGTTATTGGATATGATACATGTGAGAGACACTACATCATCCACTCTTAAAAATGGGATTTGTTCAATATTATCTCATCATAATCTTAACATTCAAAATGTTCGGGGCCAAGGATATGATGGAGCTAGCAATATGCGTGGGGAATGGAATGGTTTACAAGCTTTGATCATTCAAGAATGTCCTTATGCATATTATGTACATTGTTTGACTCATCAATTACAATTAGTTCTTGTTGCTTCAACGAAAGAAGTAGTTGATGTTCATGCCTTTTTTCAAAACTTGACTATGATTGTCAATATTGTGTGTTCTTCTTGTAAACGTAATGGTGAGTTGAAAGCTGTATTTGTAAATGAAGTTGCTCATTTGGTTTCAAATGATGAGATTGAGACTGGAAGAGGACTTAATCAAATTAGCACATTACAAAGGCCAGGAGACACTAGGTGGATCTCCCATTTCAATTCAATATGTAGTCTTTTTTTATTGTACAATGCAACTAATTTGGTCCTTGAAGATTTGGCCATTAAAGGATCTACTTATTCTCAACGAGGTGATGCTACTTTTGCTCTTAAAGCATTGATCTCTTTTGGCTTTGTTTTTGTTTTACATGTGATGAAAGACATTATGGGAATTACTGACAAACTTTGTCAAGATTTGCAACAAAAATCTCAAGATATTTTGAATGCTATGTCTTTGGTTTCTAGCACAAAATCATCAATTCAAAAGTTACGAGATTTTG